ATGTTTAGAGGGAGACTATATTGAATATATGAAATGAATGGGAAATAATAAGGTAGGGTTAAGTAAATTTATTGAGAAGAATATTCATTAATCATTAATGACTATTCATTTTCGGTTTCTTAGATTTCAGAACACCAAATTAAGAATTATATTATCTAATTTTCAAACGATCTGTTAACGAACAAGACGATCTAGTACTACACTTCCCTCACTTGTATTTGAAATGAATCTGGGTAAAATGAGAAATCTTGTCCTAACATAGCAATGTCTAGTTCCACTGAATCAGAAAAATGCTGTTATCCGATTACATAAACGTTTATTCATTTTTGTAGATACACATGGATATCATTAAACCTTGGTTTTAGTGTGTACACAAGTCTAAGTTTGACACCAGAAGTGGCCATCGTTCCATTCTCACTAGTTATTACTGATTTTTGTTTGAAATAAAGCTGTGTCAGCAGTTAGTCGGATGTATTATTGGCTTACAATAGAGCCAAAGGGTTAGAAAGAAGAAATTGAAAATAGATATTTTCCGTTGATAGTTAGTCGAACCCATAGCATGTTTACAGCATGTAGATACTCCTGAGCACATGAATGTACGCATATCTTGACTGTTGACTTTACTTAAGTGCTTGTGGAATATAATATGCGTAGCAGTAGTTCGGGATGTCGTGAAGTGTAGTTTGTGTGAATGGAGCTGTATTTCTGAATGCATGTGGTATGTTTACTAAGTAATCTGTTTTCATACTTGAACCAAACAAACAATAATAGTCTCCCACTGCTATGATTATCTTTAAAAACAATGTGAAACAACTAGGTATCCAGAACATGTTTATGCCAATTAATTTAAGTATACAGAGGGTTTGAATTGAAATCTTTTCTCTAATACTCATTTGGCGTTGTATGAGAGTACTACTGTCCTCACTTTTGTGAGCTTTTTAACGACTTATTTTTTTAGATACTTGAGTTTCCTTATTACAGTAGTTTTATTATGTCGTTTACAATTAAGGCAGTTTGAGTTCATCATATTTGTTTGTGTTACTTAAATCACTACATATATTCATTATATACTAGATTGTTATGTCACCAGATAATACTGGATTTTTTTCTCAATTAACTAGTTTAGACATGCGAATATAATATGAACGTAAATTAGCTTATATAATATATCATCTCACCTACAATTGTCTGTTCATGTTTAATTTTGTTAAATCTTTCAATGAACTTAATTAACAGTGTCATTAGAATAGCAACAATTTGTATATCTTAGTTCTATTATTATTATCATGTCTGTATGGACATATGTGCTTGATTACGTGTTACACCCATCACACGTATCTCTCTTACTAGCTTAAATGTTAATTGTTTAAATCGTTTGTTAACTCATTCATTTCTTATAAATGAGCTCGAATTTTATCAATTCATTTAACTCTTAATTAGCCTTTTTATTTGCTTGCTTGTTTGCATTAAAATTTCATTTGGTATGCTTGTGGCTTAGTGATCAGCTCTGTACAATAATAAGCCGTAGTCAATGATTTGTATTGTCTTCTGAAGTTTATAACGGTTGTTAGGACGAGCGATATACGAAGCCTTAGGAATTATCCCAAATATAATCCACCACGATAGACTCCGATGCATACATTACTATAAGGCTTACCTATCCCAGCATCAAACAGTCGTTAACACGTAACTAACTAAACAAGACACTTCTTACTTACTTACGCCTGTTACTACCAATGGAGCATAGGCAGCCGACCAGCATTCTTCAGCATACTCTGTCCTAGGCCGTCCAATTGTTGTTCATTCTTTTCATGTCTATCTCCATTTCTCTGCGTAATGTGTTCTTTGGTCTTCTTCTCCTCCTTTGGCTTTGAGGATTCCAGGTGAGGGATTGGCTTGTGACGCAGTTGGGTGCTTTCCTAATGCTTTCCTAGTTCTCCACGTTTCCGCCCCATACTGTAGAACCGTCTTGATATTCGTAGTGAAAATTCTGACTTTGGTGTTGGTTGACAATTGTTTTGAGTTTCAGACGTCCTTCATTTGTAAATATACTGCTCTTGCTTTGCCGATCCGCACCTTCACATTTGCATCAGATCCACAGTGTTCATCAATGATGCTGACCAGATATGTGATGGTTTTTACATCTTTCAAATCTTCTCCATCAAGTGTGATTCAATTGATGCATACTGTGTTGTATCGTAGAATCTTGCTTTTCTCTTTGTGTATGTTGGGACCTAATGCTGCTGAGGCTGCTTCTACACTGGTCGTCTTCTGCAATTGTTGTTTCGTGTGAGATATAACAGCCAGATGATCTGCGAATTCTAGATCGTTCAGCTGCATCCTGGCTGTCCACTGTATCCCATGCTTCCCCCAGATGTTGGCATCTTCATGATCTAGTCGATCACCAGGAGGAATAGAAAGGGTGAGAGTAAGCAACCTTGCCTGACACCGGTCTTTACTTCGAACGAGTCTGTAAGCTATCCATCACACACGATTTTGCAGTTTAATCCATCATAGGAATTCCGTATGAAACAAGTCACTTCACCTAACTATAATCCAAAAACTTTCTTGCTGAAAACTTTACTGACAGGAAGATGAATTTTCTTGTCATCTACCATATAACCACTACCATTTTCATAAATTAGTCAAGCCAGATCATCTAGATAATAAAAAGAATTCATTACACACTGATACGAAGTTGTATATTCTTCTTCCAATACAGCTTATTAATTTCTGATCAACATCGTCAACTTGAATAATACTGACTCGTACAGCCAATATGTAGTTAATTTAGCTGGATTTAGAAGATAGATGACAGCCAAATGCTTATGTAAAAGCGAATAATTTTTCGACTGGGTGTACTTATGCTTTGGTAAATAACACATAAGTTAGGTTGTTTTGCGAAAATGTGCGTAGACAGTTAACCATAGATAAGTTTTACTATACTGTACTTGATTTAAAGAAGTGAAATCTGAATTACGAAATCATTATTAGAAACATTTATTCAAATAGTAGTAAATCAATTCACATCTTCTATATGTTCTTGTTGAGCTACTTCACATAATTCATTAATTCATCTAAAAAATAAAAGAAATAAAAATGAGTAATAGAGTATAACGTTACAGAAGGAAAATTAAAATAAACGCATCAGTATTTAACGTACTGCTATCACAGTCTATGATGTACTACTGAATGGAATATAATCCTTCAGGGCATAATGCAAGACCTACCATAATTACCATATTTTTTAGCAACATTAGGCATGACGAATACTATAGTGTTAGCTTAAAAGATATGGTACACATTTATGACATGAATATTAGATGTATAAAATGTGATTCGCATCATCTTATATCAGTAGTTTAGGTTTAAATACGTTTTAACTACAGGAAAATAGGTCTACTTCCTAACCCTTTCATTAAAACCACAATTGCATGATAAAATGCTACAAAATTTGTTATGTATATGTAGGTTGGTTCTTACTTGGCAGTGTGCAATCTTTTAACCATATAAAAAACGGTTTTTTGTTTGTAATCACTTACACTACACAAATTCAAGTAAATCTTACCAAATATCTTTCGTAATTGGTCTATACCCTAAAGTGAGGACAATACTCGTCAACGTAAGTAAATTAATCACAAGGTGTAATGTGATATAGAGTTGTAGAGGTTAGTGTTATGTCAAGCCCAAATGGGTTATTCTAGTTTCCGTACTGATCAATTCATTTATAATCTATTAGATAAATAGCTAGCTGAATGCTTCACTGAAAATTTGCTTTTTATGAACTGAAAGAACAATTATATATTTATTAAACAATATTTTATTTGCAAATATATTTAGTTTACTTTACGTTGAAGTTAGAGTATGAATTCATCGTACTCCTCAATAGTCCCATATAACAGTTAATCAGTCATTCCAGTGGAAAGTGTAAATATAAGATTAATTATTAACTAGTTGTCCAGGCTAAAAGGAGTGGCTGAACATACTTTTTTTGGATACAAAGCTCTGGCTTTTTTATCTTATAATGTGGTGACGTAATCGGATTAATGTTCATTTAATGTCCCAAACTTATTATTATTATTACTGTTATTATTATTATTGTCTTTACGCTTGATAACCCCTTTTTGAAGAATTTATTCAATATCCACCCCTGAATCTACTATATTTGACTTAATTATTTTACATATTACGCAATTTCCGATTTGTAATCACAATATCCTCTCTCTCTCTCTCTTACACCATGTTGACCATATTTATTCTGATCATTATTTATCTCACAATTTCATTTCGCTTATAGACTGATTCAAGATAACACTTCATATTAGTCAGCCCCAACATTAACGATTTTATTTATATAACAAACAACAATTCCTGATTCACATATTACAATTTCCAAATGATGTATTTTGCCTTAGATCTGGCCAATTTTATGGATTAATAATCTGGATTTATAATTGTAGAACCTGATGAGAAATTATTGAAAAGAATATTCTTCGTTCATACAATTGTGTTTTAATATCAAATGTGATCGACTCCGATTTTTTTTGTTTACATAGCCTCACAAAGTCTATTACATATAGTAGAATGTATTATTGATTTAAAAAAGAACTTTGAAACGAAGAGCAATATGATGTTAGTTGTTGTGACGTGTGACTGCAGATTAGATGCGCAGCGTTTTATCGATCGAGTTAGTGACACATAAAACACATACGAACGACCTAGGGTCCCGATTGGACCTGCTTCGCTGTCTTTCCCAGCCAGTTGAGTCCAGAACACAAGTCTCAGCCTCTGAGTTATGAATCATTTTATTTTCAGACATACTCTGTTTATATACCAAACAAACAAACCACATCGTACCATAAAATAGAAAACAATATTTGTACAATATTTAACAAGTGAAACAAATATCGACCAATAGGGAATGCCAATTTAAAGTCCAAGGACACTATTAGACTTAACATGATAATGATTGGTATATTTTTCTGCACATCCTAACATCAGTAAACTTTGTGTTAGAGCACGTTTTAACTAGCACAGAAACATGATTCAAATGGAAAATGTAAACAGATATAAAGTGTAAAAGCTTAAACAATAACTTATAAATTTAAAAGTAATGAAAAGGTGATCCAGTTCGTTTTGATTTCTTCAACATTCATAGTCAAACTATAAACTCATTTTATTAACCAGTCAATGTAATCGACCACAAAGAGAACAAGCTGAATCACCTTGAAACTAACATGAAATACTGTTCCTTAAATAACTCACTTAGAAATAAAGTATGCTTAATTAATATTTCAAACAACCACACAAACAATCTGAGACGTAAACTATTTCGGATCAGTTCCATTTCATTACTCATCACATCGCTTACAGTTACATATTACATATCATGTGCAGCTTATTACGAATTTATGTTCAAGGAATTCAGTTTAGTAAATAATCGCATATGTCAATACTTATTCTCAAAGAACTTGAGTTGGCTGGAGTACATGGTGGTGAGAAGTATTCAATCACCATCAAACGGGGACTACTCAAATTTGACGAACTCTCATGCATGCAGTGAATTCAAGTTATTTCGTGGTGAAGTTGTTCAGTCGACAGTGGAAGAAAAACAATTCCCTCTTGCATTCAGTTTAGCTATTCATGAGAATATTAAACAGGCAGCTCGTCTCCTTCGTCTAATTTACAGATCACATAATTTGTACTGTATTCATGTGGATTCTAAATCACCACAAGTTTTTTATAATGAGGTAATGGAGTTGGCTAGATGTTTCGGTTCGAATGTGATGGTGGTGAATCGATCGGAAAGTGTGGATGTTCGGTGGGGATATTATTCCATACTGGAAGTGTTCCTTCTTTGTGCAAAGAAGTTGATAAACAACAGTGAGATTAATTGGAGGTATATTCTGAATGTGAGTGGTCAAGAACTACCACTTCGCACCAATTGGGAATTGGTTGCCTTATTGAAAGCGATAAATGGGTCAAATATAGTCGAAAATATGGGACCTGGGCATAATCCAGAACGTTGGCCAAATAAGAATCTCACGTTCCCGGTAAATTTCGTTGTCTTTGCTATGTACATCATAATTTATTATAGTATTTATGAACTGCCTAGTCATGATTAATCGTGACGTCGTAATTCCAATGAAATTTACTGTAAGAGACCAGTTTACCGCTTCGGACATGCAAATAAAAATGAAATCGGATGAAATGTTTTGTAGTGGCATTAAGTGAGTTAAATGAATCACAGTATTTAAACATTAGGAGATTTGTCTGAACGCTTTAACCGGAACGTTTTGTGGCAGCATACATTAGTCGAGGATAGATGATGAGGTTCGAAATAAGTTCACTGAGACTAAACAGTGACCAGTTTATATCACATAAAGCCTAATAAGTAGCTCAGAAATAATGTATAAAGAAAGACCAATGTTAACGTTTGGAAAGTGAACCAATATTCTAAGTCTTGCTTCAAATAAGACTACATTTGTGATAGAGTGAGTTAACATGTTATAATTGGAAATTTAATGCTTAGTTTGATTGCGTAACCAGCTTTCCTTTTGTCAAATAACACATTCCACTAAATAGTATCTGCATCTGTATAAAAAATGTGTTTATTTTATTTCTTACTAATATAAAAGGGAAGAAGAGTATTTTAAGAAATCTACTTTTACATGCCTTAGTGAATTGTCGGAAGGTCCACATACAGTATGAAGTCAGTGTTTCATTGTTGGCGTCAGCACAGTGCAATCTATCAGATAATAAATGGAATGTGTAAATAATTTGACGATACCATTAAAACGGTTATTAATATTTTCATTCTTTCTACTGTGTGAATCAATAGTCAGGATTTCCAATGCTAACACTGTCGAGCTGATTTAGACATTTAGTGATTCAGTTAATTATTAATGAGGAATGTCCACTAAAATGTTAGTTGTAATACCGAAATTTTTTACAATTTAGTGTCCTGCTACAATTGAATGGATAAGATGTAACATTAGATGGTTTTTTCTTCAGTTTAATTGTCTCTGAATAAATGAAGTTATTCATCAGGTTTCATTGATATATCTTATAATTTTAAGATCATTTGGAGTAAAGGAAGCTTTTACATGGCGTTAAGGCGCGATTTTGTTGATTTCTATCAGAATGATCCAAAAGCAAACGAATTACTTGACGCAATGAAAGCAGAAGAACATTTACCGAAGCATCCGGATGAGCTATTTTTCTCTACATTGAATTACAATCCATTACTTGGAGCTCCTGGTGCTTGCAAAGAAGAATATCTTACAAGTGACTTTGATATACGAGCGATGTACATAGGGCGTTTTGTAAGGTGGGCCTATAGATCCTGTAGACGTGGAAAAATTAGAAATGGTATATGTCTTATCGGTATTTCCATGCTTCCGAGTATTCCAAAGCGAATGGAACTTTTCGCCAACAAATTTAGTGAAAATTTTGAACCGATCGCTTATGACTGTACAGAGAATTACATCATGGAAAAGGTTCTAGCAGAAATGAGAACTAATCAACTCAGTTCAAATTTCAATGTGAGCTTTTACTCACAACTCTATTGTTCACAGGACCATATACACTGAAGATTTACTAAATGAGTCTATGAGTTACTGGCTCACAATATTTGAAATATTTTTGTTGGAACACTGTATGACCAATCATTCATATTTGATTTCCTCTATGTAAATTCGTTTTCATTTCGTTCACAATACTATTGTCTGTATTGTTCTGCTCATGTGATTTATTGTATATATGTATAGTTATATATGGAAAATATTTGTCTATCGGAGTACAGAAAAGATTGCATTACAAACATGGATCCGAAGATAAATAACAAATGAGGTTACGTACTAATCCATATATTTTCCGTATATAACTGCATATACGAATGTACAGTTCAAGTAAATGATTTCGTCGAAAAGAAAATTTTCTTTGCTGAATTCTCTTTTTCTTATTCAATGACACTATGGGCTATTTTAATTACTGTATATAATGAAGCTCAAAATGGATGATGGTTTGGATAGTGAGACTAGCCACTGCTCATGGTCGATTTGTAGTGTACATTTTGATTTACATATGGATAACGTTATGTATCTGTCAATTTCTCAATTCATGCCTTATTTTATGACAACATTGTATGAAGTCGAAAATGCGAGCCAATGAATTTTACCTAATCTATTCTGATGGTATCATTTAAGCTGCTTAACTTGAATACTGTGAATTCTTGCTTCCTTTTGGGTTGTATCAGCCAACCAATGAATGGTTCAAAATAATAATTAACCCGATGTTTAGTTGTCTTTGGTTTGTTTTTCGATAACGATACTAATATTAGAAAACATGTGTAAATTGAATTACGAAAATTCTCGAGATTTAGCTGTTTGACGAAACATGATTCAAAAAGACCTGTTACATTAATAACATACAGCATAAATAGGTCTTCACGTAAATACATTTCATGTTAAGATCAAAGATATGAAGTGTCATTCTGTAATGATATTTTGCAATTTTCGAAAAGTTAAAATAATACAGGGAAACTGATGTATAATAGTCAACAGTCTTCATTTTCAAACAGTAGAATTTAACAAAACTTGAAAGGTATAGTGGATGGAACTTTGGAACTATGCAAGTGATCAGTTATTTTGCTTATTTATTGACATATATGTATAGCATTCAGCACTTTAATAATAAAATTTACTTGAGTCACTTAAGGATTAGTAGATTTTGCTGCACAAAACAATGAATGTAATCTTGAAATTATCATCAGCTTGATTTTGTTATATCTAGAGCTTAGATTTTTAATACATCTCGTATAACTTGAACAACTCGGACGGTAAAACCCACTAAGTCGCAGATGAGAAGACAGAATACAAGTGAAAGGAATGCTATTCCAAACAGTGTCATTTATGGTACATACAAGGGGTTATTAGCGCTTGTTCAATAGGGAAGCTACATGTAGAGATTCTGGAATAGTCTTCCAAAAGATAATTGTATGGAATATCTTCGGCTCTTTCTGAGATTGTTAGAGCTTTCTTGAGTTTACCCGTGGACCATCCTCACAAATTGATTAAATCATATTAATGACATTAACTGCTAACACATTATAGATAATAGTTTGGAACATAAACCTTATTATTATGTTTATTTACTCAGTTGTTAATATATTATATCCATGAAATTTATGTTTTATGTTAAACAAATTGGTAATTCGTGAAATTTTCAGTTTCTGGTTACTAACGTCTTTAAAACTATTTCGTGAGTCAAATGAAGGGAAAGTGATACAATTACTCTAGAGTTTATTGATATCATAATGAAGTAATCACTTCACACTTTACTGGTGAACGTAAATCTAAACATTTAAAATAGCCATTCAATGTTAAGATGTATATAAACCTTTCCTCAATCTTTATGGTTTGTATTTAGAATCTACTTTTGAAACTTAATAGTCCTTTATAAGATGTATAAGAAAAACCTAATAAATTGACAAAGGTAAAAATGCAAATTAACTAGTATTTTATGAATGAATATAATCACTTTGCAATAATGCTGAATAAACTTAAAAAACATAATAGAACCTCCAGTAAAGACTTCTTTAAATCTTTGAAAACACAACTTATTAGGTACCTAATGGCAGAAAAATTCGATCATTTTTATAATTTTAATAAAACTTCCACCATTTTTCGTTTCTTTGACATTATATATATTCTGGTATTCAATCAACTTTACTTACTTACTTACGCCTGTTACTCCTCGTCAAGGAGCATAGGCCGCTCACCAGCATTCTCCATTCAACCCTGTCCTGGGCAATCCTTTCCAGCTCCTTCCAGTTCCTATACATCCTTTTCGTATCTGCTTCTATTTTCCCACGTAATGTGTTCTTAGGCCTTCCTCCTTTCCGCTTCCCTTCAGGATTCCAGGTTAGGGCTTGTCTCGTGACGCAGTTTGATGATTTGCGTAATATATATCCTATTGATTTCCATCGTCTTTTCCTAATTTCTTCTTCAGCTGAAAGCTAGTTTGTTCTCTCCCACAAAAGGCTGTTGCTAATGGTATCCGGCCAATGGATGTTGAGTATCTTGCGTAGACAGCTATTTATACATACTTGTACTTTCTTGATTGTGGTTGTTGTAGTTCTCCATGTTTCAGCTCCATACAGTAGAACTGACTTGACGTTCGTATTGAAGATTCTGAATCTGATATTCGTTGAAAGTTGTTTTGAGTTCCATATGTTCTTCAATTGTAGGAATGCGACCCTTGATTTATCAATCCTCGCCTTTACGTCTGCATCTGAACCTCCTTGTTCATCGATGATGCTTCCTAGGTATGTGAAGGACTCTTCATCTTCCAGAGTTTCGCCATCAAGAGTGATTGGATTGCTGTTTTCCGCTTTGAATTTGAGGACCTTGGTTTTCCCTTTGTGTATGCTGAGGCCTACTGATTCAGAGACTGCTGCTACACTGGCTGTCTTTGTCTGCATCTGTTAGTGTGTATGTGATAGGAGGGCTAGGTCATCTGCGAAGTCCGAATCGTCTAATTGATTCTGAGCTGTCCATTGTATTCCGTGTTTTCCCTCAGATGTCGAGGTCTTCATAATCCAGTCGACCACCAGAAGAAAGAGGAAGGGAGAGAGTAAACAGCCTTGTCTGACTCCGGTCCTTATTGGAATGCATCTGTCAGCTGTCCGTCATACGAGTTCCGGATAATATTGACAATCTTCTCAGAAACTCCTTAGTGTCGAAGAAGTTACCATAACGTCCTCCTATCTACACTGTCGAATGCCTTTTCATAATCAATGAAGTTGATGTACAGTGTTGAGTTCCACTCTATTGATTGTTCGACGATGATCCGTTGTGTTGCTTCGATGTCTGATTTCAGTCAGTCAGTCAGTCAGCTACAACGTAGGACCAGGCACATATGTGCATCGGTCCAGGTTGCCATACCTCATTAGCACAACAAGATGAACACCGGATTCATAGCAGTGGTTAGGTCAAAGGTTGCAATAAGGATATAGTACAAGAAGAAAGAATTGGTTCGTAGAAAGAAAGATATGAAGCGATTTTAATCTCTTAGTTTAAGGGAAGACAGGCAGTGTATACACCGACGCCATTGTGATCGATTCTGAGCCATGTCACCAAGAGTCTCCAACCATTGTTTACGATAGTCACGCGGACCCCAACCAAGTAGTCTGCATCTACCAACATGGCTAAGACTAGAAGTTAGTGACTTCAAGCACTGATGCCACGTTTTGGTTTGACCGCCCCTAACATTCTTCCAACCATTTCCAATACCGGATAGCATTGCACGTCGTGGTAATCGGTGTTCAGGCATACGTAACACGTGGCCCAACCATCTCAGTCGATGAAGATTCATAACCTCATCAACTGATTTACCATCATTCCCTAATACCCTGCGTCTAACCTCACTATTACTTACCTGGTGATCCCAGCAGACGCCAGCAATATTTCTAAGGCATCTGTGGTCAAATACTAATAGCTTACGAGTGTCTTCTACTCTTAATGGCCATGTTTCGCTGCCGTAAATTAAAACAGAACGGACTGCCGCGCAGTATACTCGTCCTTTTATTGATAGACGGATATCTCGCCGTCGCCATAGGTGACGCAAGTTGGCAAAAGCCAATCGAGCTTTTCGAATCCGTGCTGAGATTTCGTCAGGCACCAACTCATTATGGCTGATCAGACTTCCAAGATAAGTGAAGTTGTCAACGCGTTCGACTACTTCACTCCCTATCCTTAGTTCAGGTGTTAACGCAGACCAGTCCTGAAGCAACAGCTTGCATTTAGAGGGAGAGAAGCGCATTCCAAACATTCTGGCATTGTTGCTTAGTGCTACCAGAAGACTCTGCATTTTATCAGCGTCTTCACCAAACAGGACTATATCATCTGCGTATTCTAAGTCGATAAATGGACCTACTGGTAGGAGATCAATACCCGAGAATTCAGTCGACGAGAGTGTTATTTCCATCAATAGGTCTATGATGAAGTTAAACAAAAATGGGGAAAGTGGACAGCCTTGACGGACACCACTTGAGGTTGCAAAAGTAGATGACAGTTCGCCATAAGCTCTGACTCGACTAGTAGTGTTCGAGTAAAGAGCCTTCACAAGGTTTATGTACTTCTGGGGTACGCCTTTCAATGACAGACACTGCCACAGAATCTCGAGGTCTACGGAGTCAAATGCTGCTTTTAAGTCAAGAAAGATCATCATTGTCGGACGTCTATATGTATGCCAGTGCTCTAGAACCTGACGAATGGTGAATACGTGGTCGATGCAGCCACGACCAGGTCTAAAGCCAGCTTGGTTCTCTCGTGTTTGCAGTTCACGAGTCTTAGTTAGGCGTCTGATAATTATCGAGGCCAGTATTTTAGATACTATGTTTGTTAAACTAATCCTTCTGTGGTTGTCACAAGATGATTTTGACCCTTTCTTATATATTGGGACGATAAGTGATTGCGACCAGTCAGATGGGATAAAGTCTAATTCCCAGATCTTAGCTAAAATATTAGTCAACCTAATCGCTAAAATTGGACCACCATCCTTAAAGACCTCTGGAGCCAATCCATCTGGACCAGCTGCCTTTCCTCGTTTCAGATTAACTATAGCCTTTTGAACTTCTGCTAGAGTTGGGGGACCTACTTCAATGTTCCATTCACACTGTCTGGGAATGGAGGGTAGTTGTAGAGTAGCTGAAGGCTAGCTGAACTGTTCTCTAAAATGTTCCGCCCATCGTTCTAAACGTCTGGACTGGGAGCAGATGAGAGTATCGTCTTTTTCCGAAATAATCTCACTTACACTTGACTTATTAATTCCAGTGTCTTTTATTAGTCTGTAAAGCTGTCTTGTGTTCCCTATAGTCGCCGCCTTTTCCATCTCTTTTGCTTTCGTTGCCCACCACTGCTCACGGTCGTTTCTTAGACTTTTTCTTAACCTAGATCTGATTTGTT